CACCAGGTCCGGGACACGAACCGCGGTCGACTACGTGGGAGTCCAGCGACATAGCCATTACGCTAACTGCTGGTTCCCTGCATTTTTTTTTTGAAACATGCCTCTACACCACTGCATGTAACAGTTTTATTAGAAATTAGTGTTTACTTCCAGCACTTATACTGAGCAACAAAGTGTTACATGACAAGGAAGAGATTCTCAGGCCAGGACTGTGATATCCTCCTTAGACCCTGGTCACATGCCGAACTCCACAAACCCAGCGCTGGCCTGTATTAACAGCAGGCTGCCAGATTCCTCAGAAGCTGACATGGTTTGACCTTCATCCACACTTTTTGTTTACTTCCCGTGGGCGATTCGGAGTTGAAGAAAACACATAGCCAAGAGTTTCTGCTCTCTGAATGGGACTGGGAAACTTTCAAGGGAAAAAATCCCCCACACTTAAGCCACAAAGGTTGATTAAAGATGCTAAGAGCACTTCAGTGAGTTCAATAGGGCAAAATTAAGGGTAGGGATCTCAGCCCTCTGATCAGCTAAAAGACTGATTCAAGAGGGCATGATCATCTCATGGGCTTTCTTGATTGGTGGGTTTCATATCTTACCAAACATCTCAAGAATTTGAGTTAAAAATCTTATCTTTCTCTTCAATTGGAGGTTTTGGAATCTTATTGGCCCTGACTCATGGCTGAAATTGGTTAATTTAACACTTTCAACTATTCCCTAATTCCTGTGACTAAAAAAGCAATTTTTATAATAAAGAGGAAGGCAAAGGAGGAGGGTGGTTATGAGTTCTTTGGGAAGAATTCACATCGGTCAATTAAAGTAACAGACAACTCTACATCAGGAATTTTGGGAGCACTGCAGGAGAAAACGGGAGTGACAGGCCACACTGTAAATGTGTCACCATTCGAAGGTCGTTAGTTCACGGTGAACTACTCCGGACCTGGGGTGGGCATAACTAAAACCTGGAGGTTAGCCTTGCTTCAGCCGAATACACTTCCAAACAGGAAGATGTTTAATTTACCAACCCAGCTGCTGCTAACTGCAGTTTGGAAAATTTCCACTTTTTCCTTCGACATAGGGGTTAACTGAGGGCCTTTCAGGGGGTCCCTGTTTAGTTTCAGCACCACGTTCAAAGCCACAGCGCTCAACAATCCCCGCTCCCTGGCCCTATCCGTGTCCCGCTCCTCGCCCAGCCGCGCAGGCGCACCGGGCCGTGGGTCCCTCCCTTCGCCGCTCCTCAGTCGCGCAGGCGTGCTGGGCCGTGGCCGCGCCCGGAGGCAGGCCCGAAGGCTAGGGGCGGGGCGAACTGGAACCCTCGGCTGCGCACTCGCTCAGTCCAGTCCAGCTGGCGCACTTCCGTCGCCGCGGCTCTTCCGGTCCGAGACGGCTGGAGCTGGAGTCTGAGTGAGGCAGGTGTGTGTCCCACCGACCGACTGACATACCTATCAGCGGACCATGGTGCCTGGCGGGGCTTCGCGATGGGGGCTGCCCCTCGGCACCGTTCTGCTCCTGCTGCTCGGCCTGGCATCCGTCGCGCCGGAGCCGCCCGGAGCTGGTGAGGGCGGAGGGGTGGGTGGCTGGCGCCGGAGGGATAGGTGCGGGGGCAGAGTTAGCTCTGGATCCTTGCGCGGAGTGGCCTGCTTCTACCTTGGACACCCGTGCTATAACTACCTCGTTGCGGTTCCGGGAAGCTCCGTGCTGGAGCTCGAGTCGGAGCCGGGAGCCGGGTGGGCGGAGGCCGGGCTGTAGGGGTCCCGACTAGGCCCTGCGGGATGGTGGGATCTCAGCCCCGCCGGCGCCCAGTAAACTCCCGTCCTGCCCAGGAATTGAGGCTCTGCAGCTGGTACCTGGTGTTCTTTGTACGTTAGGACCCGAGAGAAAGGCTCATCAGGATGCTGCGGTGCCTCTGCGGTGGAGCAGGCCCACCCAGCCCCTTCACTCAGACCCACAGGCAGCGTTCTTCATTCCTTTTCCCACCTGTGCTCGGTGCTGGGCCAGGACGCTGACTCGCTCCCCTAGACAGCTCCAGTCTTGGCCTAGAAACCAGCTGTGAGGGCGCTGAGCAGAGCAGTTGTAGAGGAGGGTGCAGACCCGAGTGAGCGCCCCCAGAGCTCCAGTAACAGGAGTATTTCCCGAATGGGATAGGGCCTAGGGGCTCGGTTCGCCTGGTGGAAAGTCACAGAGGATTTTGAATTGGGGCATATCATGATTGGACCTGCTTCAGAAACGTTGCACTGCCCTCTGTGCAAGGCGCCAGGTGACCACAAGCTGTGTGGGTAATGGAGCCTGAGTCCCTAACCTCAGCCTCTTGACATTTACAATCCTTTTGACCTGGAAGGTCTAATACTTTTCTCAGCTCCTGTTAGCCCAGGCTCCCTCTAGTTTTCTTTAATTCTGGAGCAGCAAATCAGCTTTTGTGACCTGTTGAACAGTTCAGCTCTAAGCTTCATTAGCTTCCAAGAGTGCCTGGTGTTTGTGACCTAGTGGTGCAACCGTCTCCAAGTTCCAAAACAAAGGGATAGGTTAGTACTGTGCAGGGAACTTTTGGCCTAACAAGTTCTAAGCACAAGTTTGCAATGAGTTTTTCAGCAAAAGGACTGGGTGTCTGCCAGGGGAGTTGTACACCAGAAGCTCTATCTCTCGATGGCTCGGGGGTGTTTGTTTGCATTGCAGCAGTGGGTGTGCCAGGGAGGCCACCTTGAGGGCATACACTGCTGCTCTGATTCTCCTGTTGTGGAAGCAGCAGGGATGGGTGTGAGGCCAGCGGCCTGGACTGCAACTACACAAGGGAGTTAAATCAGCTGGAAGGGCTTCCTTGTGCAGTGGGTGGGGATACTCTGCTTCTGCTCTTAGTCATCACCAGGTCCAGGGCAGTGGACCACCACCGCCTTTCTCCTTAGGTACTCTGAGAAAGGAGAAGACTGGTGTGTTTACTGCCAAGGTGTCCTGGACTTGACCTGGAGATGTGCCCTGCTTGGAGCACCACGCTCCCCTCTTCCCACACAGCGTGTGTTTAGTATGAGATTTTTACTGATTATTGTACTGTGAGAATGGGAGTAAGATGTTTTGTCTGTGTTATAAGGATACTGTAGGGTAGATGTTAGGGACCTACAATGTATTGAAGATCTTTAGAGTGAAATTAATAAAATTTAAAAATCCTCGATTGGGCCTTTGGACACCATTTTAATTGCATATGGTATCAGAACCATCCAAGAGCTTGTCTAGGGGGAAGACAACCACTAAAATGACCATCAGCTGTCCTAAAGAGGAATCCTAAGGAGCCCAGCAGTGGTCAGTATGGTTTCTGGTGTGCTGGATCCCACCCAACTGTTCCTGAGAGTGGGGACTCCTGATTTGGAGGGGGAATCTGGTTCTTTTGTCCATTTCACCCTGAGAAACGTGGCTTTCTAAGCAAATTACATACAATGTTATGGTACACATGTATTTGGCATGTGTTTTTTGACATTTACTGCCACTCTTGGTTTTTGCTGTACAGTGCAAATATTTGCCAGAGAGAGAGAAAATGAGAAATCACCCCCCTCCTCTTAGGGGACAGCCACATCGCAATCCCCTCTACCCTCTCAGGATTTTGGACATGCGTACACACACACCCAGCATGATTTTCAAGCTAACAGGTGTGGGACTCAAACCCTCAAGTTTGCCACATGAAATCTGTCACCATAACTTCCATGTCACCTGCTGGCCCTACTGTCACTCTTTACCTCCATATTTTCCACTGAAATAGTGGGATGACAAGAGCTTTTTTGTCTAAATGACTTTATATATATATTCTTTAGACAGAGATTTTTGGCTATAGGGCATATACACTTGCTGAAGAAACAGAGAGACGGCAAGAAATCACCTTCAGGGGGGAATGACACGCTGCAATCCCTTCTCCGCTCTTCTGAGGATTTTGGGCATGCATGCACATGCACCTGGTGTGAGTTTTAAGCCTCCAGGTCTGAGACTTGAACCGCAGTCGACCTTGTGGGAGTCCAGTGACGTAACCATTAACACCGTCTGCTGGTCCTGTCTAAATGACTTTCTGCCCTGTTTTATCCCTGTAATTGACAAGGTAGGTCCTCTTCATGCTCTGTCATGGTGCACAGTGGGCACAGTGCACCTTTTAGGGAATCACTCTGTGCTGAGGGGTGGGTAGATGGCAGTTTGTGGCCTGCCAAATGACAGGTGCACAATAAATAACGTACTCATTTTGTTAGTTTCAAGAAGTATCTCTCTTTACACACATTAGTGTGTCTTTTGTACTTAAGTAATTGACTCACCTGAAACTTAAGAAAAGTGCCCTAAAAATGAGTCATGTGGTTTAGAATATCCTGACAGAAAACCTTTTTTTGGGGGGGGTTCTTTTAATTTCCAAAGTCAGTGAGCCTTAAAGTTCTTTAAAAATTGATAAACACAGGACCAGCAGTTAGTGTAATGGCTATGTCGCTGAACTCCCATGTAGCCGACCGGTGGCTTAAACTCAAGCTGGGCATGTGTGCGTGCGTGCCCAAGATCCCGAGAGGAGAATGGAAGAGAAGGGATTGTGACGTGGCCATCCCCCCTAGGGGGTGATTTCTCGCTTTCTATCTCTCTGTATCTCTGTCTTTCTGGTGAGCACACACGCCCTATAGCAACAAAACAAAACAAAACAAAACACCTCTCCAAAAAAATATTCATAAACAATCTAAAGTGCAAGTGTCAGAAGTCAGAACATTCACATTCAGTGTTCAACTTTAGGACTACCAGGGTGGTTTCTCTCATCTCTGACTCTCTAGCCCTTGTTTTTCTGTATCCCAGGATGAGGGAAGAGACTCAGTAAATGCCCTCTTAGAGGAGTCAGACCGTGCCTGTCTGAAGCAGTAACAACTGCTAATGTAATTTTTTTTTCTTATTATGCAGGGCGGTATGGAGTTTTCAAGTGAGAATAGAATGACCTTTTCCCAACTCCGGAGTTATTTTAATGAGGACTGTTTAACACAAGTGTGTTCCCTGTGTTGAGAACCCTGTTCTTGGCCTGCTGGGAGCAGGAGCAGAAGCAGCAGTGGGTGGTTTGACTGCCTCCTCTTCCCAGGCCCCTCTGTGGACTCAGACTCACCTGCAATCCAGAGGCCTAGGGGGCAGGCTTTATAGTGTGTATCTTGGAGCTTAATCTTGTCACACAAAATGGGTTATCACAAAAAAAAAAAAAAAAAGGCACATTAAAAAATCCCAAAAAAAAAAAAAAAAGGTGCATTAAATAATCCCCCATAAATGAGTTCTTGAGCTTCATCATCTTGTTACTCGTGGCTGTTCTGTTAGGTTGATGAGAAGGAAACATATCCTTTATTGGCAATGACTTTTTAGAAGGACTAGAGGATGGATGTGCCAGGCATACCCTCCCCTACTTTATTTAGAAGACTTGCAGGGCCAGTCTTACCGCCTGGTGATTTAAGGAGCTGGATCCCACATGGCCGACCACCGTGTGTGTTTGCCTAAGATCCCAACAGTATTGAGAATGGACTTAATGGGGGTGACACACCCTATTAGGTTGTACTTTTCCTTTCCATGTCTCCCTCTGGCAAGCCCATGTACCTTCTGACAACTAAAAAAAAGCTGCGGAAGAGTTGAAGGAATGATACAATGAACTCCATTTGTTTTTGTTAACCTTTACTGTATTTGGTTTACCATTCCTTTTCTATATCTGCTGCTTAGTATTTTTTAGATTTATAATAAAATAGGGTCTTTAGACAGGTCCTCACCATGTCGCCATCCTCCTGCCTCAGCCTCCTACCTGGGACACTGGGCTCTTTTTCATACAGATTCTTGCTTTGTTCTAGGCCACGATCCTTCTGCATCACTTAGTCTCCTGAGTTGCTGGAATTACAGATGCACACTGCTGTGCCTGGCCTTAAAATAATTTATATGCTATTTATGTTAAAAAATATATATTATGGGACCAGAAGATAGTATAATGGTTATATTGCTGGACTCCTACGTAGTTGACTGCGTCTTGAGTCCCAAACCTGGCAGCTTAAAACTCATGCCTGGCGTGTATGCATGCATGCCCAAAATCCCAAGAAGAGAAGGGATTGCTGTGTGACCATCCCCCCTGGGGGTGATTTTTCACTTTCTGTCTCTAGTCTCTCTCTGACAAGTACACACATCGTATAGCAAAAATCTCTCTCAAAAAAAAAAAATAAAAGATTGTAAATTGACAGATTATTGTTATAGGGCTTGTTATTTTGACCCATTTGAGAGTAAATTATAGATGCGACCCTTTTCCTCTGATTCTTTAGGCTAAGAATGGGGACATTCTGGAATACGATTACTTAAATCTGGACATTTAACATTGATATAGTACTTGATCCAGAGGCCTAAAAGCCTCTTTATTTATTGTTTTTTGTTATTAAGAATTATTTTTGTTTAATCTTATTTATTACTAATATTATTTTCAAATTTTATATTTGGCATGCATGCTTACCAGAGAGAGACAGCCAGAGAGAGAGAAAGCTGCCAGGTCTGGGACTCGAATCATGGGCCATGTGGGAATCCAGTACCTTGGCCACCATGCCA